ACGTTTATTTCAATTATCAATTCGAAAGTCATAATACATAAATAAAAACTTAAATAACCAATTATTATTATTCTGTTTTTCATCTATTGTACAAGAAACATTAACATTGTTATAGTTACATGTTTAAGTTATTTTTTCAGAATAAATTAATGATGATGAAAAAGATGAGAAGAATATTGCTAATATTTAGATATTTAAATAGTTTATGATGAATTATAATAACCAGATTTGTATATATTACTTTCAGCTTATATTTTGTTTTACAATAGTTTAAAATGTTCCTTTTTTTTTACAATTTATTTTTTGAGAATATTATTTCAAAACATATCATTCAATTGTATTATAAAAAATTAATTTAAAAAAAAAAATTAAATGCGATAATAAAAGAATGATACAAATATTTTGCATTTTGGTCTTAATACTTTTTTTTGTGTTTGTATAGCAATTATTTTATTAATTCACGAATATATTTCGATATTGGTGGTAATGGTAACTTTAGATATTGCCAATAACTATTCAATAACTAATGTATTTTACTATAATTTTTTGTTAGATTGATTTTACAATTTCTGTATTTTTAGACTACATTCTAGATTATATATTTTAAAAATGAAACATTTTGTATAGAATGATATTAATTCGTATCTTATCTAAATTATTTTAGCATTTATTCATCGCAAATAAACAAACCTAGATAGCTGAAGCAATTAATGATGTTTCATATTGAACTCAAAATCGAGTACATTTGATCAAAGTCGTCAGTGAAAATCAAGTCTAATTAAGAAATTCAATTTCAATTATTGTAGGAAACTAATTTTTTTTAACAATTTTTGCACATACAAGATGACATTATAATAACAAATTTTTTTATTATTTTGAATTGTTATTATAATTATAAATGAGCAGTCAGTATCTATTATAAGAATTTCTATTTCAAAAAATTAGGTTATATGAAATTATTACTTCTTTCTCAAATTTTATTTTAAACTAAGGAAGATCAATTTGATTTTCATATTTTATAATTAAGGATTTCAATTAATCGTTCATTTTAAAATTAGAATGTTAATAAAGTTATGCAAATTAAATAAAGATTGTTAAAGGAATATATTTATTATTAGTTTTTTTTTTTTTTTTAGAAATTTTAGTTTAGAAATATTTTTCAAGAATGGAAAAGATTAAAAGTTGATTTATAGATCGGCAATATATCGTCATAAAGTCAAAGAGTTGTAATAAATACAACAAAACATAGATCTTGGTTGTTATTGATAAATTATCATTTACCATCTAATTTTAGTTTTAATAACTATAATAATAATAGTTTTAATAACACTTTAAAGCATTTGGTATTGCGAACATACTGGAAGAATGATTCAAGATTAAGTTATTCAATAAAATAGTCATGAATAATTATCCTTCGAATTCCACTTTTAATTTTTTGCAATTTTAGAAAAATTGCAAAAGAATTTGAACAAGAATTAGAAAAGAAATCATCAAAATATTTTCCATTTAAATGTTAATAAAACATTCAAATATTTTTTATCTTTGTCTAGATCATTTGTATAAAAGCATTTTTTAGCATTTTTCTTTTCCTAATCTATAATAAATCTAATTTAGTCTCTATAATCGTATTAATCGATGGAAATACAATCAATCTCTGAGATTAATGAAGAACAAAAAATTTGACTTCTATTTATGAAGAAACTAGAATAGTAGATTTATTTTCTTAGTAAATCGAATTAATAATAATTTCCACTGGTTTTCTATTAAATCTAAAAAAATAGTATATAATCCATATTATCATCTTTTTGAATGATTCAGTATAAATGATTGTTTTTAAATGAAACTCTTCTTCTAATTATCCTTAGCGATGATTTCAATCTTCGATGTTTTTGTTCACAATAATAAGTAATAACGAATATCTTCGAATATCTAGAAAGTATTACGTCGACTAAGAATTTTTCAAAAAATGAAATTGATGTGCTCGAACGAATTAAATTTATTTTAGATTGTATAAATTAGAGATTAAACGAATTAACAAATTTTCAAGAGTTTGAACATTTATCATTTTTTCTTTTTGGATCTAAAAATTAATCTTATCTCTTTCCATCATTGTGATGGATGTCCTAATCAAATCGAATAAGATTTAGTTATGGGAGAAGAATGCAAGCAATAAGATGAGAAAAGATTTGGCGATTAATTGCGATCCAAAGAGCCAATGTTTATGATATGCTATTGAAAAACGAGAATTTGATCAACAAATGAGAAATTTCTCAATCAAATAACTTTAACCTTCGATTTCTGCCGATAAATTCTTCCCTATTTCTTCTATTTCGCTGAATAGAAAAAAAATATTTTCATCATTTATATCATTATTCTATCGATATACGAGAACGAAATATTTTAAACGAATAGCAGATTATTTACAAGATTTATTTCGGCTAAAAATTAGCGAAAAATTTTTCAAAAATAATAAATAGTTCATTGCTATTATTAAATCCAACATACAAACATATATTTTTTAATATTTTCATGTTTCAATTCACTCGCATAGATAATGTTTGAATATAAATTCGCATGAAAAATGATGGTCTAAATAATACTCAAAAGACTATGTGAAAGATTGTTTATTTACAAAGAGTTTATCTTGAAACTGTCATAGATCATAATTCTCCCTTCCAATTTTTATCTAGTAAAGCTAACCAGAGAAATAATTATCATATTAGAAAACGATTTTTAAAGATGAATTCTGAAGAGATATGTCGAAATATATAAGGGTCGGTACTTGATGACTTTTGAAATCTCTAATAATCGGTTATAAGGTATTTGGCATAAATATGATTTATGAAGTAATTATTGCTATTTTAGTGATTATGTTTGAGTTTTCGAATAATGTAAGGAAATCTACTTATAAATTATTATTAATAAATTGATAAAATTAAAGAGTTAAATTCGAGTCGCTTTATAAGTCAATCATTGTTCAACAGATAATATTGCTTTTCCTTTTCATAAACATATTAATATAAATAATCAAATTCTACAAAAAATCAATATTTACTCAAAATCGATATAGAGATTTTATAAATTTCAATTACAAAATTCTTTTGTTTTTTAATAATTTCTGAATAAATTAAAAATTATTTTTTATAAAATTTAAGTAATATAAATATTCGAATATCATAGAAAATAAAAAAAAAATCATTGAAAAATAACAATGCGAAATTGCTTTTAATCATTGACACAATCATCTCATGATATAAAATAAATTATACTCGCTGAATAGAAAAATATTTCTATTTCATAGTTATTTATTTTATAGTTATTTATTTCATAGTCACTCGGTCTATATGATGAAGCAAGCGAAATATTTCGAACGAATAACAGATTATTCACAAAGTTTATTTCAGTTAAAGTTTAATTTTAGCAAAAATAAAAAGAGGTTCCTCTAGTAAACAAAATTCTAATAAGAATATTAATAAAGAAACTAGGTATATAATAAATATGCAAATATATTATAAATGTAATTATTAGAAGCAATAGAAATTTGATTGACAACTTTGATAAATTTGATTGAAATGCTTTATATATATATAAATATATATATAAATATAATATATATATATCAAATATATATATATATATATATATATATTATATATATATATAATTATATTATATTATATATATATATATTTGATTATATCATAAAAGAATAGAAAAACATTCCTATGAATTAAAAATGATTTAAAAAAGAAAATTATATTCTTTTTAGAAATTGAATATCAATGAAATCATATAATTAATTCTTTATATTTAATGATTTTTTAACTCAAATTTTGATGAAACAAAACATTTCTATTCATATTGAACATACTGATATATTATACAAAATTTAAATATATTTAAAATATGCTTTTAAATCATATATTGGAACTAAATATTATTTAATTTATTAAATAATTTACAATTTAATTTACAATTAAACAAGCTCAGTATATCCCCTCCTCCCTCCCGAGTCTAGATCTTTCTAAAATTTTTAATTTTCTTTCTAGTTTTTATGATATTGTTACAATAACATATTTTTTCTAGAGCTATCATATAAATTAATATTTTGATAATCAAAAGATTAAATCAATTTAAAGAACGAATTCTAATTATATATAATTAAAACCAGATAAAATAAAATAATAAATCATAATTTGCAATAATGGATACAAAAAATTATAATAGTTTACTGAAACTACTATTTCAAAAATGTATGTATGTATGTAGTTACTGAAAATTCAATAAACATAAAAAAAACCTTAGAAAATATAGATATTTCTACATATTTCTTAATTTGAATTATTATTTGTAGATGCATGATTCTCCCGCCTAAATATAATTAGAAAGCGATTGCAGCGCCACGAGTGGTCATATGTAAAAATAAAGTAAAAAAAGAATCGTTGCTAAGTATACGTATCGTTCTATTATATTATCTTAAACCTATATATAACCTATATATATAATCTATAATCATTCTGATAATTCAACGATATTACATACGTGGATTAGATATTTCAAATATCTATATCATATCATACAAATTGGATATTAAAAAAATAAATTACAAAAAATAAATTATAAAGAGAAAAAAAAAAAGAAATAATGAATAAAAGTCAATTAGATTTAATTGAGTACACAAAATAAGGAAGTGGAAACAAATGAAAGAAATATGATAAGATTTTTCACTGATCCAGGCATATCTGCAAAAATCATAGAAATCGATAAAAATTAATAAATCGATTTTTTATTGTTTTATATGTGTATAATTTTAAATGAAATTGATATAAATAATGATTTTCTAATTACGGAAAAGAAATAATTGAATTTTATTTTAAATTATATTTAATTATTCATCAAATATTTTAATTATTCATCATATGTTTTCATCTATAAATTTGTATATAATTCAAAAATTATAAATTTTATCTTATTGAATAACTTAAAAAAAGATACAAAAAACAAAGTTTGCAGAAGATTTTGTAGAAATTATAGCAGAAAATTTTAAAACCATAAGATAATTGTTGATTTAATTCACATGCTGATATATATCAATATAGCAGATTTATAATTACTAATATTCTATAATTACTAATATAATAAAAAATATTTTACAAATAAAAGAATATCATAGAAGAAAATACAATAAAAATAATAACATAGAAGAATAGAAGAAAAATCAATTCTTAAGCTTAATATGACACCATCTATATGTTTTATGTTTCATTATTTTTATTTTTCTTACTCTTATTTTATTCAGTTCTAATCTTTTGTACAATAGAAATTTTTTATTGTAACCAACTGCGTAGAATTACATTCCCGTTGCGCCTCAAACCATCGAAGTCCTTTTTCAAATGACTCAAATACTTCGACATAAGAAGACATATCCTCATCATTACTTTCGTTTACTGCTTCTGTTTGTGTAAAATTTATGTTATCTTCATTGTTACTATTGTCTTTATCGCACTGAAACCATTGCATTACATCATCGCTATCACAATCACACTCTGGTATTCTACCCAATGTAGTGATAGTTTCTTCAATATTTGCTTCGACTGTTCTTTCTTGTTTATTAATTTCTTCAATTTCACGCATCAAAAGTTTTTTCCATGCTCTTTTCAATGTTATACTTTTAATGTTGTTCCACTCATTTGTCACTATGTAGAAACAATTTTTTAAATTTAGTTTTTTATATTTCTCTATCATATTCTCTTCATTTAAGTGAAACATAAATAGAATTTTTTTAAGCAATTTTTTTCTATATAGTTGTTTAAAACACTCAATTACTCCTTGATCTAATGACTGAGTATATAATGTAATATATATAATGTAATATATATAATATATATAATGTATGAGTGAAGTTACATTAGGTAGCAAAAACATATATTTTGTAAATTCCTCCTGGTTAGGAATGTTACATCCAGCATTGTCTACCAACAAAATAACTTTTTTTTTATGACTATTTTTTAACTGATGTTCTTTAATCTGTATAAAAATATTTTCAAACCATTCAACAAAAATATTGTCCATCCAAGCATTTGTCTGATTTTTATAAACAATTGGTATTGCACTCATATTGACATGTTTAAAATAGTGTGGATGTTTACTTTTTCCGATGATCAGAATTGAAAGTTGATGATATCCGATAGCATTCGCACAAAAAAGTATAGTAATGCATTCTTTATTAATTTTGTGATCAGGAGCTAATCTTTCACAACGAGAAACTAACATCTGTGGTAGTGCCTTCCAAATTAAACCTGTTTCATCAGTATTGTATACATTTGTTAATTCATATTCTTCATTATTTAAAAATTTATTAAAGTCTGCTCTAAAAGTTTCTGCAGCAGTACTATTCGTTGAAAGTTTTTTTCTACAGATATCCAACTGTCGTATACCATGACATGTTTTGAATTTTATTAACCAATCATTATTAGCTTTAAATAGGTTTCCCTTTAATCTATCGTTGAACTCTAAAGTTTTTTCACGTAAAATGTGTCCATATATCGATATGCCTTTGTCTCTTTGTTGACAAAACCTTTGGAAGACATTGTCTACACTTTTATTTTTTAGATTTGTTAAACTTTTCCTACCGATATTAGCATCCGTTAAATCTACATTCTGTATATATTTTGCAATATTGCATTTCTGTTTTTTAATATCTATGATTGTAGATTTTCTAATACTATGTACTCTTGATAATTTTGTTGTACTTTCACTTTTAAGATTTTTAATTATTTTATATTTCTTTTCAATAGTTAAAATACGTTTTCGTTTACTTGCCATTGCGATACCGTTGTGTGCTTCAGATTGAATTGATATGATTACATTTAATCGATTGAATACAGGAAAGTATTTATTATATCTAAATACGTTGTATTTATGTTGTAATCTAATTATGTTGTATGTAAACATCACTACGAAACGATTGTGCGGATAACAGAATATCCGGATAATAGAACATCTATATATTAGAGTATTCGGATAATGGGAGTACGTAAAGAGTAAGTAAATAATTATATTCTTGTTGTTATCTATTATTTTGTTATAATATTATAGTAATACTATAGTAATACTAGTAATTATCATAAATTAAAATCAGCATACTTATCTTTTATAACCAATATTACTACGAATTTTTGAATATTTCGAATGCCGATTAGGTTATAAATTATGATATCGTAAGTACATGATTAAAAATATATATTTTCTAGTTTTTTCTAATAAACTATTGCATATTGCACGTTATAAGTAAAAAAAAAAAAAAAAAAATAAGACATTCATAATTGTAATTTTATTTACATAATTGTAATTATATTTAATTATGAATAATTTAATATTCAGTTATGTTGCATGATTAATAAAAATAGATTAATTTTTATTTAATAAATTTATTTAGTATGAATTTAAGCATATTATCTGATAAATATAATAAAATATAATAAAATCATTTCGAATTTTGTGGAGTTAATGATTCGTTACACAATAGAAAGAACAGATTTATAAAAAGTGCAAATTTGATTTTCAAAGCTAAAAACACGAAATTCCTAAAAACATAAATTCTATAAATGGATTCTACAAATTTTGAAAAGTATATAAGAGAAAAATTAATATCGCCAACTATTATGATCATAGATATAATGTAGTTCAAATTAATAAAATTCCTATCAAATATACCAAAATATCGCTAATAATTGCTAAAATATATAAATATATATATATATATATATAATAAATAACGTTGCAATTAAGATAAGCCTCAAGAAAAAATATATAAAATCGATAAAATTTTAAAATTGAAATTTAAATTTCAAAATTACCGTCATATATGTGCAAATTAAATCATTAAAGTTAATTTCGAAAATTAAAAGAAAAATCAAATGATAGAATATTTCCTAAATTAAAAAATGTTATAAAATAAGCATAAATAAAATTTCACAAAATTTTATGAGAAAAATTTTGCCAGCATATTGAGGATATTGAAAAAAAATATTGGGAAAAACATTGTTTAATAGAAGAATTAATAAAAAATCTAAATGAAGATAAAAATTTTAATGATAACAGCTTCTTAAAGGATTTGTAATGTACAAAAAAAAAGAAAATTATATAATTTTTATTTTAATTTTTAAATAATATGTTTTTATTTATAATTATCTTGATGAAAATAATTCTAAAATTAAATCGAATTCTTTTTAAAATGAAACATACATTAATTTCTTCAAAATAACATAAAATGATTTATAATATATAAGTTATTTTTGAATTTATTTTCATTAAGAGACAAAGAATAAATAAATAAATAAATTTTTATTCTGTCAATACTGATAACACTTTGCCAATAAGATAAATCATACCAATATTTTGAAATTATCATCTGTTTTATTCCAATCATTTGTTTATATGTTTATTTTCCATGTTAAGCAATTCGATTTATATGATTATTTCGATCAATTATAATAAGCAATTGATCAGTAATTATATTCTGATTAAACATCTTTTAGATGAATAGTATTATTATTATTATTATTATTTTATTACGTGAAATCGCATGATAATATCGATGCAATATTTACGATGAATATTTTAAACGTTTCTACAAAGGATGTCATTACTATATGTACAATTATTAATTAAAAATTTAAATTTGTTTGTTCGTTTGTTATTTATATAACTCTTTGAGATATAAAAAAAAATATATAATTTATGTAATAAATATATACTTTGATATAATACTTTGATATAAAAAGAAAAAATATGTAAAAAGAGAATGCAAATGTTTAAATATTCATTTTATTGATAAAGATTTTTTCAATATATATATATATATATATATATTCATCTTAAAAAATCACGGATTCTTGATAGAGCACAAGTTGTGTAACATTTCCAATTTAGGAAAAATTTCTAGAATTAAATTTTATTTTTAGAATTTTTAATAAATTTTTTCGAGTATAAAATAATATTGATTGAGATAATTGGAAAATATCATTAAATCAAATACTAAGATCGCGTTCAACCATGCCGAAATATTCTAAAAAATATATAATTAAATTTTATATTAATTTTCATAAACAAATTAAAAATATATATAAACTCCTTGAATATTGTTTTACATCGTATTAAGAAACGCTGTTAGAAATTTTTCAATTTGACAATGATGCTTTTTATACATTAAAAATATTTAAGATATAAATCTAGATTTGGAAAGAGGATATTTCAGTATATGTAGTAAAAAAAAAATTTTTAAGGAATGGTGCTGGTATCTCAAAAATTAAATAAAATTTTCAAAAATTTTTAATAGGATTCGATAAATATATATAATAAAACAATGCAATTTTTTTACAATATTTTTTTAATATTCACATAAAATTATTAATTTAAAACATAAACACATTATATTAATTTAAAACATAAACACGTATTAAAAATATTTCATTAAAAAGAAAATTTTAAATTTTCTTTAGAACGTGATTTCATCTTTTAAAACCGAATGAAAGAGTTTTATTAGATATTTTATTCTACTTATATATAAAATTTCATAATTTTTGGTATTTCCAAATGGAGTTTGACAAATTTTTCTTGTCGAAATAATATTATTATCTTTTCTGTGCGAAATAATATTATTAATTATTTTAAAAATATAATTTTTCTGCAAAAATAAAAAATTACATTAGTTGAATTTGAACTTTTACAAAAATTATAATTTCTCAAACTAATTTCCATTATAATTTATTTCCATTATGATTTTTAATCTCCCATATGTGGAACAAATAATTCCAATCTATTCGTGGATCTATGATATATAATAATAAAATTAATTTATTATAAAGTTATATTGTTAATTGAAATTCTATCTTAAATTAAAAATAAAGTTCATATTTCAATGAAAGTTTATTCTTGTCACTAAATGAATTCAAGAGATTCTAACAGTTCTGTTTGTTCAAAGTTACAAAGTTCGAGTTCAAATATTTTCTAAGTTCAAAGTTTAAAATCATTCTAATTTTTTCTCGAATTTTACAAGTACTCTGAAATCCTCGCCATATTCATCTTAAAAAATCACGGATTCTTGATAGAGCACAAGTTGTGTAACATTTTCAATTTAGGGAAAATTTCTAGAATTAAATTTTATTTTTAGAATTTTTAATAAATTTTTTCGAGTATAAAATAATATTGATTGAGATAATTGGAAAATATCATTAAATCAAATACTAAGATCGCGTTCAACCATGCCGAAATATTCTAAAAAATATACAATTCTAAGAATTTTATTTGTTAAGAAGTAAAGAAACTTTTAACATACCATTCGCTTTTAATTATACATACAAGTTCAAATAAAAATATAATATGATAATATAATACAGACAAATACAATATGATATAAATAAAATACATAAAAATAGGATTAAACAAGTCCACAAAACATGTTGATTAATCTAGATAATCACTTAAGCTACATATAATAAAATCATAAAAAATGATAAAAATTCAATAAATTATTGTATAAATTAATAAAATTCGAGTAAATATAATCATTATTATTAAATATAACATACGTTTAAATTCTACACATGTAATTATATTAAATTATTATCTAATATGAGCTATTGAATAATTCAACTTTTGTTTCTGCCATTTTTATAGACCTTAATCATCGCCATTCTGATTATTATTAGTCTATCAAGTTTATTCTTTTGAGGATGTAATTCGTTTTAATTGTCATTGCAAGATTATCGTTCCTAATATCCATTATCCAAATTTGCCAATCATTATTATTCGTCATTTATTTCTGTTCCAACTGATATAAGTACCTTCTGTATATAGTATTGTTGCTATATATTTTGTTGAATCATCTGAAATTTGACAACAAATCCTTGTTAAATAACACAGATCAGATATAAGAGGCAAATGATTAGGTTTCAAAAGAGTTGTTAGATGATAAGGAATTTAGGGAAATTAATTTTTTTTTTTATTTAATAAGTTTAACGTCACATTAACATAGATTATTAGCAACTTACAAAAAAAAAAATTTTATAGAATTATAATTTGAAAACTCAATACTTTTGCAGAATCTCACTAGAGTGATTTCATTGGGAATTATCAATGCTTATCAATGCTTAACTTCCTTCTAATTTCATTATATTTAGGGCATTAGGGAAACTAAGGACTATCTGTAAAAGCAAAACAATGTATAATTTTTCATATATTATTCTTGATGATTCATTTTAAATGCATTCTTTATCTGAAATTTTTTTAAATTCAATTAATTAATTTCGTGCCCCTTTATCGATAAATCTTTTTAAACAGTTTAGAAATATCTCTGCGGAGAAATCAATGACTGTTAATTCAATATGGACTGCCTTTATTGTAAAATATACAAACAAACAAATATAGTGGTTTTAATTCAATTTTAATTAGTTACGAATCTGCGTAGAACCACACTTTAGAGAATAAAGAAACATATAGAACTGAGCCTATTGAAAGCTAGCCTCATTTGAAAGCACTTTAGGTATTTCAAATAATGCTTCATCTTCATATATACTTCTGATACGATATCCAAAATTTGTGTAAAGAAAAAAACTATTGTTTAATAATTTATATTTGCATATTTATGGACAATAAATAATTTTTTTAGTTTGTGTTCTGTATGAATAATAATTGGATATTTTTATTCATATTATTCAATTGGAATATCAATATCAATTTCATTTCTTAGCCTATCTGAAAAATCCAGACGTATTTAAAAACGGATTTAACAACGCATTGTTTTTCAGTATTTGTAAATTATTCTTTAAGTTTTGAATTTCTATTTTTAAAAATAAAACGTTTGTTACTATCTTGATTTGAATATTTCTCTTGCTTATATGAATTTATAACAAGCAAATAAAGTAAATATTATCGAATCATCCTAAATTTTCTTTACGTAATCTCTTTCGTACGTTCTC